GATTTCAGAGACAAAGGAAGAGATAGAAACATTAATGATGAGAATCATCAGTTGGCTGCCTCCTGCATGCCCCCTACTGGGGATCAAGCCCGCAACCAGGGCACATACCCCAACTGGGAATCAAACCATGACCTCCTGGTTCATAGGTCAGTACTCAACCATTGAGCCACACAGGCTGGGCTCCACTTTTATTTTAAAAGGAAAATTTGATCACTTCTGTTAACAGAAAATTAGTATGTTTGGTTTTTTAAAAACATATTTATTGATTTCAGAGAGGAAGGGAGAGGAAGATATAGAAACATCAATGATGTGAGGGAATCATTGATTGGCCGCTTCCTGCATGCCACACACAGGGGATCGAGCCCACAACCCAGTGCCCTGACTGGGAATTGAATCGTGACCTCCTGGTTCATAGTTCGATGCGCAACCATTGAGCCATGCCAGCCAGGCTAGTATCATGTTTAGATGTAGCCTTGAAAACAAGTACAAGGAAAATATTTTATTAAGTAGCTACTGTTGTCTGCCAAAGGCTCTGAGCCAGAGGCCTATTTTAAAAAAAAATGTGTTAGATGTGACAAACATAAGAGTGATTCTTTTTCCTTGATTTTTTTAAAAAAAATGTTTTTCTTGATTTTAGAGAGAGAGGAAGGGAAGGGAGAAACATGGATGAGAAACATTGATCGGCCACCTCCTGCATGCCCTCCTAGGGATTGAACTGCAACCCAAACAGGTGGTCTGACTGGGAATGGAACCAGTGACCCCTTGGTGCGTGGGATGCTGCTCAATCCACTGAGCCACACCTGCTGGACTTTCCTTTTAACCAGAAGGATGGGGGCTGAGGGGACAAGAGAGGAAACAACTATCTCACTATTTGATTCCATATTATTTAATGTTACATTCATTTAACACTTAGTCATTATCTTATGTAGGTGTCTCACATCTAAAGTGAAATATATTTCACTACAGATGCCCCAACCATAAGAAAATGAGGATAAAGTACAGGAGTGCCCTCTTATTTGTGTGGGATACCTTCCAGACCCCCAGCAGATGCCTGAAACCATTATAGTACTGAACACTATATATACTGTTTTTTCCAATACATACATACCTCTTCACATCAAGGAAGCACTTTATGGTGTCTCCTTGGCATATCCCAACTGCCAGCATCTTAGGGGCCATTATGAAATAAAATAAGGGTGACTTGAACACAAGTACTGCAAAACCAGTAGTGGATCTGATAACCAAGACAGCTAAGTGACTAATGGGTGTGTACAGCATGGACAGACAAAGGGATTATTCATGTCCCAGGTGGGAAACAGCATGAGGTTTTATCATGCTATTCAGAATGGCATGCAATTTAAAATTTATGAATTGTTTCTATCTGGAATTTTCCATTTAATATTTTTGGACCATGGTTGACTGCCGGTAACTGAAATTCTCAAGAAGGGAAAACTACTATATTACAATTGAGCAAGTGACTTAGCTCTGAGTTTTTTGTTTTGTAAGCAGAAATATTTTAAAATATATTTTTATTGATTTCAGAGAGGAAGGGAGAGGGAGAGATAGAAACATCAATTATGAGAATCATTGATTGGCTGCCTCCTGCACGCTCCACACTGGGGATTCAGCCTGCAACCTGGGCATGTGCCTGATCGGAAAGCAAACCGTGATCTCCTGGTTCATAGCTCGATGCTCAACCACTGAGCCCTGCTGGCCTGGCTAGCTCTGAGTTTTTGAGTTTGCTCTAGGGTGCCCTTTGAATGGAATACATGAGAAACAGATGACAAAGGGGCCTGCATTTGGCCCCGAAGGCGTTTGTAATCCAGCAAAGGAGCTACTCACATACAAA